CGGTATATACATTTAACATAGCTGCATTTCCTAACAGCTTCAACCATTTCTAGCTCATGATGATGCACTTAATTATGCTTCGTGTGACTCCTGCGTACCTTCCCCTAGAACAAGTGAGAATGTGCTACGATGAATTATTGTCACCGGTTTCCAGGAAAGAAGACAGAGGCCCAGCGATATTCAACTGGCCCAAGGTCACCCAGCTGGGAAATGATGAAGGAGGCGTTTGAACAGGTCTGAAGGATCCCCCGTATCACCAGGCCTCCTGGGGGGACAGGATGTATGATCTAATGAGGTATAAAAATGGTTTCTCCAAATGCCCAGAGGCGGTTGGTAAGAAACTCTAGGGCTCTTGGTCGACTGTCCACGGAGTCCATACACCGAACCTGCCAATATTTAAAACATCAAACGAAGGAGTATAAACCTCAGTAAGCATTGCATTTGTCATAAGGAGTAACTTGCGTTTTGTTTTGGGTGTCTATGTTTTGGGAAGCTCTGTGAGAGTATTTTCCTGAGTCACTGTTGTTAGATACACTCACGTCCCCTAGTCAGAGCACAGACTGTGCCTGGAAAGTGTAGTTCTTGTCTTGGGTGTTATCTTAGCCAGTCCTCATTTATTATCTTAATTAGTCCTGCTTTGGAGTGGCCAATCTTATATCCATTAAGCTTTCGATAAAAGTAGTCAGCGGGGTTGGTGCCAGTCTCACTCTTCAGAATCTGATTAAGTTTCAAACTTATACGTGAATTCTTTTGTGTGCGCTGCGTTAAGGAAGGTTGACTTCGAGTAAAAAACTTCCCAGGCTTCCGTTTGTCTTCTCAGAGTGGTTAGTGTTGTGAACGACCCTGGACTCAGGCTCCATCCTAGAGCACCCAAAACTCAGCACCCACAACGCATGCAGGGGAGGGCTCCCCTCTCCCCACCTGGCCCCTACCTCCCCCAGCTCAGAAGCAGCCTCCTCTTCCGAGCTGGCTGGAGCACAGTTGACACCTACGAAATGCATTTTCACCTCTGTCGCTCATTTTCTCTTTTGTAAAAAGTAGATCCAAAGCCAGAAATCAGGCCTGGTGAGCCTGCAGCCTGTCGGATTTGGGATGGGCCCCATCCCAAGGCCCCGGCCTGCCAAAGCACCCTGGAGAGTTCTGTCCTCAGCAACTGCCAAGTGTCAGCACACACACACAAAAAAAAAAGGCAAAAAAGGATAGTAAAGGTGGTCAGGCGATTTATTCGCCGCTCTTAGTACTGGCTCTGTCTCCATGCAACAGAGCCACGCAGCCATCTCCCTCCCAAGTGGTCCCAGCCAAACGCTGACTGCCTAGGAGTCCCATCAGGACACAGGCCCCTGCCAGCCGTGGGCACCTCCCACGGAAAGTGGTGGAACCACCAACCCTGGGGTCTCACCGAGGACCCGCAGCCAATTCTTGCGTCAGGGCTTGGACAGCTCCAAGACTCCTGCTCCAGATGCCTGGGTGCTCCTTCACCTCAAACCCACACACCCACCCACAGACCACTACTTGCCCTCGGATGGCTTCCTCCTATCCCCAGGTGTTCTCTTCGACCTCAAAGGGAAAAACTAGAATACGGCAGGTAGATCCTGGAGGCTGTTCCTGGGCAACTGTCCTCTTCTCCAGAGCCACAAAACAGGCAGGTGTCCTGCAGGTGGTGAGACCTTGTGACCCCGAGGGGCTTGGAGGGGACCCTCTATTTTCCCTGCGTGACATATGTTGGAGGATGGTACCCCCAGCCAGAAGGCACGCATTCAGCCCCCACCTAGACTCTAAGTCCTGACATTCAAATCCATCCCTGTCCCCTCCCATCACTGGGGGTCTCGGGGCTCCACTGTTTTTCGTGGTCCGCCCTCCCCTCTCTAGCCGCTACCACAGTGACCTTTCAACGACCCGGACTGGATTACAGTGCCCACCTGCTAGGAGCTGGACAGCAGAAGCCTTTGGGATAGGCTCTCTCTTTACCAGGAGCGGCCTTGGCCGTGCACCCAGCCCAGTCTGTGGATCCAGCCTTATCTAGGCCCCTCCCCAGCAATCCGTGCGCTCCAGCCCGCCACTCATCTTGTCCTTTGTTACCAGAACATGCCATGCACTGGCAGGCTCTCCACCTTTGCACCTGCCGTTCCGTCTGCCCATCCTTCCAGCAAATTCCTGCTCATCTTTAAAGGTGCAGCTCAAAGGTCTACTCCCGCGTGAAGCCCTCTCTAACCACCTATCTTAGCTTGGGCTGCCATCACCAAATACCACAGGGAGGGGCAGGGGGGCTTACACAACACACACTAACTTTCTCACAGTTCTGGAGGCTGGAAGCCTGGGATCAGGGTGCCAGCACGGTCAGGTTCTGGTGAGAGCTCTCTTCCTGGCTTGCACGCTGCCTTCCCCCCGTGTCCTCACGTGGTAGAGGGAGGAAGGGAGGCAGAGAGGCACAGAAAGAGAGAGAGAGAAATATCTCCTTTTCTTCTTCTTATAGGGCCACTACTCCTATCAGATTAGAACCCCGACCTTAGGACTTCGTTTAACCTTATGACCTTCTAAAAACCGCATCTCAGAATACAGTCATACTGGGGGTTAGGGCTTCAAACTACGAATTTGGCGGAGGTGGGGGTACAATTTACCCCAAGGTACTTCCCCAGACAAAGGTGGTTGCTGCCTCCCTAGGAGCCCCATATTCACCAGGGGAGGGTGTCCCTTTCTTGGAGCACCCCCATCCCTCATCCCCATTTGTGTCTCCTGGTTTAATGGACCAAGTGCTCCTGCCCAATCCCATCCCCTGCTCTTTTGGGGCCACCCCCTCTGTGGAAGGACACTGTCTCCCGACAGACCTTGGGTGCTGACCTGTCTTCCCAACTATGCCCAGGGCTCTGAGGGGACAGGGGCCTGCCTCTCACTCATCTCTAGGCACCAAGCAGGCCTCATGAGGAGAATTCTGGTTCCACTGTGGTTCCACTGGTGCCATGCTGGGTGAGGTCCCCACTTGGTGTCTCTGTTGCCCTGCCCCATCCTCTTATTCCTCCCCAGCCCGGGTGTCCTCCCATCCTGAGAGGAGAGGGTCCTGCTGCCTGTACTGGCAACACAACCCTGGGCAGCACACCTGGTGTGCATTCTCAGCGCAGGACGCCTTCAGGAGCCTGTGCTTTCTTACTACCCTGCGAGTTTAGCAGGCTGTGATTTTTAGCACCGCAGAAAAAAACCCTGAAAATCCCACTGAGCGTTTTCGGGTTCCCGACCAGATGTCCACGCGGGCAAGGCGCAGAAATGGGTGCTGCCTCTGGCCCAGAGAGCGGCTCCGGGCTCACAAAGGTTATTCATTTAATATATTTGCTTTTACGCTCAGGCCAAAAGCTTAAAATATCTCGTGTATGAGCTTTGGACCAAAAAAAAAAAAATTGAAGCAGTTGGGCCATTAATCATTGGGAATATGTTGAATAGGAACTTGATTAAAGCACAGTATGTGTTCCGCAGACGGAGCTGCTGCCTCACAGTGACCGCAGTGGAAGCTCGGCCTCCCCGGCCGGCGGTGCTTCTGCGGGGCGCCTCCTCCGGGGCTCCCGGGCGGGCTCTGGCGCCTTGCCAGGCTCTGGAAGGCCACCTTGGGGCGGAGGGGGGTCCTGGCCTGCGCAGCCCGGCTTTCCCCAAACAGGCGCACCTCCAACCGGCGCCCGGGCGGTGTCGGGCTTCGGCGCACTAAGTCTTAAGGGGCGCTGGGGGGGAGGTAGAGGCAGCGGCGACCTGCGGGCCCCGGGGGCGCGCCCCCCCCCGCCCCCCCAACCCCCGCCCGCGGTCCCGGGATAGAGCCGCGAGGCGCCACGTGGCTGGGGAGACGCGCTGCCCTAACCGCCCCCCCAGCAGCGAATGCGGAGGCGGCGGCCAAGGGGCACCCGGCCTGGCCACCTTGTTCCCCAGGATCCCGGGACCCAGCGCCCTGCGAGCCGCGCGCGGGCAGGGCCCTCCCGAGGTCCCCGAGGTCCCCGAGCCCCGGCTCCCGCCCCGGAGCCCACCGGAACCGGGCCGGAGGTGCGGGGCGGGCGGGGGGCAGAGGCTTCCGAGCCCGGGGACCGCCGGCCCCGCCTCGGGGTCCCCGTCCCGGGTCAGCTCGGCGTCCTCCGTCTGCGCGCCCCACCTGGCCGCGGTATCCCGGCCCTGGGCTCCAGCCCGGCCCGCGGGAGAGGAGCCGGCGGCCCAGGGCCAGGCACGGCGCCAGCCCCGCGCGCCAAGCCACCCGCGCCTCGGGCCGGGGCAAGTCCTGGAAAAGAAAAAGTTGTCCTGCCCCGCGGACCGGCCGGCCGCGTCCCCCGGCTCCCCGCGGCCGCCGCCTGCCTCGCCTCCGCGCCCCGCGGGGTCCTAGCGCCCGGCGCCGCGCAGCCCCCCGGGGACCCCGCGGGACGCGGCGGGCGGGGACCGGCTCCTGCGCGGCCTCGGCGGGGCGGCCCGAGGTCAGGGAGGGGGACGCGGAGCCGCCGCGCGCCGGGCGCTCCCCTCGGCCTCCCGGCCGGCTCCGGCCCCTTCCCCGCGCCGCCGCCCAGCCGACACCGGGGCCCCGGCGGGGCCACTTGGAGCTTTGAAAGCGAGTCCCGCCGCGGAGGCTCAGGCAGCAAGCCCGGCCCCCCCGGCCCCCCCGAGCCCCCCCCGAACCCCCCCCCTGCACCGCGCGCCGCGCCTGGGCGCTCCCGGACTCCCCGGCCGCCGGCTGGAAGTGGAGCCCCGGGGCAGCCCGAGGAGGGGGCCCGGTCGCCGGCCACGTGCGTGCGGGGGCGACGGCTCGGCCCAGGGTGGGGCGCGCGCGCGTCCGGGTCCGGCCGGCGGGGCCGGGGCAGGGGGCGCCGCGCCGGGGCTCCTCCCGCCCGCGCCGCGCTGCGGCCCCGCTCGCCTCCCCCGCCGGCGGCCCGGCGCTAGGACCCAGGAGGCGCCGCCGCTCCGTCGGGCTCCGCAGGGCGCCGCCCCCGGTATAAACGCGGGCCCGCGCGGGCCGGGCCATTCGCGACCGGAGCTGCGCGGGCGCGAGGCGGCGGGGCCCGGGGCTCGGGGGCGGCGGCGGCGGCGGCGGCGGCGTTGGCGCCCCGCGCGGGCTGGAGGCCGCCGAGGCTCGCCATGCCGGGAGGGCTGTAGCTCCCCCATGGAGTCGGCCGACTTCTACGAGGCGGAGCCGCGGCCCCCGATGAGCAGCCACCTCCAGAGCCCCCCGCACGCGCCCGGCAGCGCCGCCTTCGGCTTTCCCCGGGGCGCGGGCTCGGCGCAGGCCCCCGCCCCACCTGCCGCCCCGGAGCCGCTGGGCGGCATCTGCGAACACGAGACGTCCATCGACATCAGCGCCTACATCGACCCGGCCGCCTTCAACGACGAGTTCCTGGCCGACCTGTTCCAGCACAGCCGGCAGCAGGAGAAGGCCAAGGCGGCCGCGGCCCCCGCGGGCGGCGGCGGCGGCGGCGGCGGCGGCGGCGGCGGCGACTTCGACTACGCGGGCGCCCCCGGGGGCCCCGGGGGCCCCGGCGGCGCGGCGATGCCCGGCGGCGCGCACGGCCCGGCTCCCGGCTACGGCTGCGCGGCGGCGGGCTACCTGGACGGCAGGCTGGAGCCGCTGTACGAGCGCGTCGGGGCGCCGGCGCTGCGGCCGCTGGTGATCAAGCAGGAGCCGCGCGAGGAGGACGAGGCGAAGCAGCTGGCGCTGGCCGGCCTCTTCCCCTACCAGCCGCCGCCGCCGCCGCCGCCGCCGCACCCGCACCCGCACCCGCACCCGCACGCGCACGCGCACGCGCCGCCCGCGCACCTGGCCGCGCCGCACCTGCAGTTCCAGATCGCGCACTGCGGCCAGACCACCATGCACCTGCAGCCCGGCCACCCCACGCCGCCGCCCACGCCCGTGCCCAGCCCTCACCCGGCGCCCGCCCTCGGCCCCGCGGGCCTGCCGGGCCCCGGCGGCGCGCTCAAGGCGCTGGCCGCTGCGCACCCCGACCTCCGCGCGGCGGGCGGCGGCGGAGGCGGCGGCGGAGGCGGCGGCGGCGGCGGCGGCGGCGGCGCGGGCAAAGTCAAGAAGTCGGTGGACAAGAACAGCAACGAGTACCGGGTGCGGCGCGAGCGCAACAACATCGCCGTGCGCAAGAGCCGGGACAAGGCCAAGCAGCGCAACGTGGAGACGCAGCAGAAGGTGCTGGAGCTCACCAGTGACAATGACCGCCTGCGCAAGCGGGTGGAGCAGCTGAGCCGCGAGCTGGACACGCTGCGGGGCATCTTCCGCCAGCTGCCCGAGAGCTCCCTGGTCAAGGCCATGGGCAACTGCCCGTGAGGCGCGGGGCGGCCGCCCGCTGGGACCCCGGGCGTGGATTCGGGGCCCGGATCCCCAGGCTGCCCCCCGCGGCGCAGGCCCGGCCTGGGAGGCTCCGGGCCGCCAGGGAGCCCGGCCCGCCGGTTCGGTGCGCCCAGGCCCAGGCCCAGGCCCAGGCCCAGGCCGGGGGGTGGGGGTGGGGGGTCAGGCCGTGCCTTCTCCCCGAAGGAGGGAAGCGCCGTGGGGCCGAGCCCCGAGCCTGGCGACTCTAGTATTAAGGAATAACCTCGTGCCTTGGAAACGCAAACTCGCCGCTCCGATTCCTACCGAGTAGGGGGAGCCCATAGGTGCCTTGTCATTTTATTCGGAGGGTTCCTGCCGCGGCCCCGAGGTGCAGGCCCCCACCCCCGGGGAGAGAGGGCAGTGTGCAGGCCCGCGGCTGCTCCAAGGGTCAGGGATGTCTCGGCGCCCGTCCTCGTCCTCGGGAGGGAGGACGTACAGGGACTCGGAAGGCCGTTACCCTAGTTCTACATGAAGGTGGCGGGTCCCTAGCTCCCTGCCCTCCAGTCTCCCAGCCTGTCACCGGCTGGGCTTCCCTGGGCAGAACTCACTGAGATGGGGGTCACCGGGAGACCGGCGGGAGCCCCTCCACCCCCACCCCCACCCCCGGTCGGGCCAGGGCAGGCCAAAGCTATCTGGACATGTGTTCGTGGGAGTGGTAGCCTGGTGGCAGAGGGAAACCTAGAGATCTGGCCCGGGGTGGGGGTGGGGGTGGGAGTGGGGTGGGGAGGTGGGGTGAAGGGACACTGGGACCATCAGCCTTGTACTGTATGTTGCCAGCATTGCCATACAAACATGAAGCACAATCTGTCCATCCCAGAGGGACCGAAGTTATGAGAAGCTTTCCAAATATTTTGCTTTATCAGCCGATATCAACACTTGTATCTGGCCTCTCTGTGTCCCAGCGGTGCCTTGTGCAATGTGAATGTGCACGTCTATGCTAAACCACCATTTTATTTGGTTTTTGTTTTGTTTTGGTTTTGCTCAGATACTTGCCAAAATGAGACTCTTTGTCAGCAGCTGCAGGGAGGGTCTGCGGCTCTCTTTCCTTTTGGTTTTGGGGGATCGCTTTTGCTCCCAGGGGAACCAAAGAGGTGAGGTGGGCTTCCTCTTTCCCTGGGGGGTTGGGGGGCCGTGGGCCTTGGTGCCCTCCGGCCTGGGCCGCCCACAGGCTTGTCCTGCCCGCCCCCCCCCCCAGAGGCCCTGGCTCCTGGTCTGGAAGGGAGGTGGCCTCCAGCCAGCATGCGCAGATCGCTGGGGCTGGGAGCAGGGAAGGACAGCTTGGTTCTCTTCTTTGGGGAGAACGTAGAGTTTCATGCTAGATGTTTTATGTATTATATCTATAATATAAACATATCAAAGTAAATTTCGGTGTCTTTTTAAAACCAGAAAAGCTACTTCCAAGGTTTTCTGTGGGCCAGGTCACATTTGTAAATAATCACAGCGTATTCTCTGGCTGAGATCCTGACTTTCATTAGCTCTCCCATCCCAAGCCCCTCTTTACATGAAGGGGGTGACTTCTCCCAACCGAGGCAAACAAATGGCAGAAGGAAGGCACGCTCCAAGCTGAGAAAGCCCAAATCCTGAAGAGAGAGTCTCCTGGATGGGCGAGAGTTGGAGGGGAGGGAGGTCACAGGGCCTTGGTGTGGCCTCTCCGGAGCCCCTGGGAGGAGCAGAGGGGCTCAGAGAGAAGGATCCCTTGGCCTGAAGTTGTCACGGGCTGTCTGGGGCTTGAAGAGGCCCGGCCCAGTGGCTCCAGGCCCCAGAGGCCCTTTGGCCACATTTGCTTCTAGATCGCTCACGGCTCTAGCTGTGTGGCCGCCTTGCTCATACGTGTTGTCTCTTACCCACCCGCAGGACCCTGGGAGGGCGGGGAGAGGCCTCAAGCGGGAGGATCCTCTGCCTTTCCCCACTTGCTCTGCGCTGTGTGGCTGTAACCTACCCAGCAGGGCCCGGAAGGGCAGCCTGAAGGCCGAGCACCCCTGTGCCCCACCTTCCGTAGCTGTCCTGCCCCAGCCAAGCCAGGGAAGGGGACCCTCGGCACGCCTGCAGTGGGTACGTGGTCTTCCACGCATGCCACCTGGCAAGGAGCCACCACCAGCATCCACCCCCCGCCCCATCCCGCACTTCGCCCACCCTGGACCGAGTCCCCCCACTCAGGCACCCTGGCACCCCCTTGGCGGCAGTGAGAGCCAACCAAAGTGGGGGGGGGCACCGTCACGCCTGATAGAAGGAGGCCTGGCAGGAAGTAGCACAGGAGGCTGGCTGGGCTTTCAGAGTTGACTCTCGCTGAGGGTAAAAGGCAGACTCTCCTTACCTTCCATTGTCACCCCCAGAGGACTCACTTGAGCAGCTTAGCGTGTATGCCCATGTGGGCTGGGACAGTTTCAAGAAATTACACACTCTTTTTCAATTCTGAAAGCTTTAGCTTTACCTGCCCCGTGTGGTTAACAGGGGTGACTTGCCCCCTTCCCCCCCCCCCGGCCCCCGCCCTCTCTGTCCTGTGTCTGGCCGCCTCCTCGCCCAGGGCCGCCCTTGGCAGAGGAAAGGCCACGGGCCCAGTGTGGAGGCGGCTGCCTGCCCCACCGCCCTGGGAACCAAGGAGGCAGAGCCCCACCGTCTGCCTAGAGGCCCAGGGCAGGCCACGGCTTGCTAGGCCCCAGCAAACCCTCTCTGAGTTCAGTGCTAATTCCAGTTTTTCTTGTTTGAGGGGGCCAAACCTCAGCCTCCCCCTTTGCCCCCAGAACACATCCCAGGATGAGCAGGGGGAGGGACACCCTTCCTGCCTGCCCTCCTCCCTCTCCCCTCCCACTGCCTCCTCTCCCTAGGTTTCCTCTTGCAGAGATGTCGGCCTACTAAGGGGCACCCCTCCTACTGTAGATCATGAGGTCCAGGGCAGACTTTGCTGGGGACAAGACACAGCCAACCCAACCGAAGCCAACCCCAGGGAAGGAATGGGGCCGGTGGGGCCCCCGGGGAGACAGAGCAGCCTGCCAAGGAGAGGGGGCAGTGTGGGGCGAACCTGCCCGGCATGTGCTCTGTGCCCGGCCAGAGGGGCCCCTGGGGAAGAGCTGTTCTTTGCCACCCACTGCTTCCTGCAGGGCCCCCATGGTTCCCCTCCTGACTGCAGCTTTTGTGAAGAACCGCTCCAAGAGCCTGGCACTGAACACACCCCAAAAATTTATTGGATGCCTACTGTGTTCAGGGCCTGTGCCAAGGATGGGTCACTCAGCAGCAAACAAACAGCAGACCTGGAGCTTACAGTCTTGCGGTCCCAAGATGGGTTTTAAGGGTGACAAGTGCAATAAAGGGAAGCTCAAAGTGTGAATAGACGCCACCAGGGAAGGCTTCCCGGAGGCAGGGGTCTGATCCAAGACCCTGGTCACGGACCCCGTCCAGCCCACCTGGATGCGTCTCCCTTGTCCTCTCTCTGGAGAGGTAGCGGGGACCTCACCCCTCGGTGGGCCACCTGAGCCTCCCCACCACCACCACCCCGAGAGCGCTGCTCAGAGGAACCAGTCTCCAGGGAAGAAGCAAAGGTAACGAGGGAGGTGCTCCTTTGCTGCCAGAAGCCTCCCGATGGCTTAGCGCTGTCATGGATGTCACCCTTATCTCCTGGATCTCCTGGGAATTTGTGAACGTGGGGTTTGGCCCTGACACCTGTGATGAGCCACTGGGACTGGTGAGGAGTGCCTGCCCCTCCCAGGTCTCCCGCCCCCTCCTTCCCAGGCAGGAACCTGCCAGGCCTCCTCCAGCAGCTGCTGATTTCATGGGAGGAGAGGGGGCAGCGGGGAGAGAAAGGGAGGCCGTTGGAGGGAGAGCAGAACCCCTGACCCTGCTCATCCAGGAGGCCTTCTGCAGACATGGGGTAGGGTCCTTGCATGGAGCGTGGCTCTATCCCATCTGTTTATCTCCTATGCTGGGTGGGGGGGAGGGGAGGCCTTTCTCTTCTTTTCCTTAAATAGAACTAAACCACCAGCACCTTTGGAAGATCTCTCTTGTCTCTGTGAAAGATTATACTATCTCCCTTCCCCTGACGCCCCCTCCCCCGCTTCTCCCCTCCCCCACCCCCTCCCTGTGCGTGGATCATTTGACGTAAGCAGAGGCATAGGAAAGATACCAATTCACTATCAAAGCATCCTAGCCCCATCCCAGAGCAATTAAAAAGCCAGATGGAATCTCTGGGAAAACGGCATTAATAACGCGAACAATCTGTGCAGGCCGGCAGGGACCCAGGAGCTGTGGGCGGGGGCAGGGGGGAGGCTGGGGTGCCGGAGCGCGAGCTCGCAGCAGCGCTCCAGCCCCGTTGTGGCCAGCCGGGGATGGGGCCACCACAGGGGTACTCCAAGATCTGGCCACAGCTGGGCTCTCCCCTCCAGCCCCCTGCAAGGCCCACTGTGCGTCCTGACTCCCGGTCGCTGCAGACTGAGCCAGACAAATGTGGAACCCATTACTCAGGCAGCCACAGCCTCAGCCAGCCCCATTCTGGCACCCAAGAGCCTTGCTTCCCTTCACTTTTGTTTTTATTTATTATTTTTCTAGCCTTCTGGCCCCACCCATGAGGAACAGGACACCCCGTGCGACAGCTCCCAGAGATCCCCTTTCTGTTCATCCGCTCTGCCCAAGCCCACTGCCCATGCCCGGCAGCCACAGAAGATGGTGTCGGGCACCCCGTGGGGCCTGAACCCCAGAGGTTGCCCGTTGATTGCACAGTGGGTGGGCACTTAGGGCAAGAAGGCCAGCTGGGCTCTCAAAAGCAGGCATGATGGCCAGGGGAGCGGGGCACAGGGGTTCATGCTTCCTGGGTGCCTTGAGGGGCCCACAGGAAAAGGATCTGCTGCTGTGAAGCCGAGAAGTAGGACCTTTCCTTAACCCTATTCTCCAGACCAAGGTTGGAGGCGCACCTGAGGCCAGCTGAAAGATACGGTTTTCTTATATCCATCAAGTCGGGATAGAAAATGGTTTGTTTGTTTGTTTGTTTGTTTGTTTGTTTGTTTAAAAAAAAAATCCCCTATGGGTTTGGTGTTCCCAGAGAGCCACTTTCTGACCTTCATCTTCCCTGTCGCCACCCTGCACCTGGGAAACTGTTCTCTCCAAGGTCACCATGAACTCCTGGAGCCAAATTACGTGAACTTGCCTGGGATCCTGCCTTTCTTGGCTTCCTGCTGAGTCTGGCCTGCGTCTGGCCTGCGGCAGGTCCTCAACACATGTGTCTGAATGCGTGGATCTCTCTGCCACTCCTCTCTCTCCTTCCTTAAACATCCTCATCCTCTCCCTGCCACTCAAGGGTCCACTGGGTTGGCCTGAGGTCCACCCGGGGAGCTCCAGGGACTGGGGTTCACCATTATGGGAGGCGATGAAAGGTCTAAGAAAGGTAACCTATCTGGTTCTAGATAATTCTCAGCACCTCTGGGAAGCAGGGGCTAGCCAGGCCCCCAGAGACGGCCAGCTCTATAGGGAGGGCGCGCAGGAGGAGGCGGGCTTCCCGGTAGAGAGGACAGGTTGGGGACGGGCAGTGCAACATGCCCCAAGCTTGCCAGAGCTGCTCGGACGCACGGGCACCTGGGATCACAGCGTTTCTGGACGTTTCTGGTCTCAAGGACGGTCTCTTTCCATCTCTCCTCTTGTCCCCACTGGCAGAGTCAATACTGAGGGGCCACGGCCTGAGGACGGGAACACCAGTGGCCAAACACGGTGGGCTAGGGCCAGGGCGTGTCACCCAGTGACCCAGACAGGGCCTCAAGGGAGCCATCACAGCCTGTCCCAAGCCTTCTAGATCTGAAGATCTTTCTGCTCCTTGGCAAGTAGCTGCCAACCTCTCACCAGAAAGAAAGCCTCTCCTCCCCGAGCAGCCTTGCCCCTTCCCCACCCAGCCATGGAGGCCGCAGGGAGCCCCCCACCTCTCCCTACCCCCCAGCCAACCTGAGCGCTCTCCCGGCAGCCCCCTCCCCGGAATCCGTGCTGGGGAGGAAAGCCGGCTGATTATGGAAGCCCTTCTCTCCAGGCCGTTGGGCAGTGGTCTCCGCTGGACGTGGGGCACGACCCCTGGCAGGAGAGTCAGGGCAAGGTGGTGTCAGGGTGTCCGCCTGCCCCAGAGGGAGGTGCTGTGACCTTGAGCATCAGGTTTGGACCCGTCTGGAGTAGCCTCCCGGAGTGATTTACAATTTGCAAACACGTTTTATTTGATTCCTCAGTTTTGCTAGAGCAATTACAGTGACTAAGCATGACAAATCACTCCCATCACGGTGTCTCCTCGCTGTTAGGAAATGTGTTTGCTTCACTCTTTTGCCTGGTGCGGCAACATTTTAAAAATAGACTCATTCACTGTACTTGAAGGCAATTTGTTCCAAATTTTCCCACTAATTT